TGCGGTGTGGTACCCAGCGAGGGCAAGACGCTCAAGATGTCGAGGAATGTAAGTGCTGCTCGGGCCGGTCCTGCCGTTGCCCCACGCTGCGTCTGGTGGTCTCCCGGGTCGACCCGTTCCCGCTCCGGCCGCTCCCCCGGTGGCCTGTCTGTGGCGAGGGGCCCTGTGCAGCGGGGGGGCCGCTGTCACATCCCACCTGGCATCTCGAGATGAGCAAAAGAGAAGCCTCGCTTCCTCCCTTGGCTACGTGTACTGATACTGCCCTGAAGTTACTTCTTGGTTGTTCCCTGCAGCCAGCGTCCATACAGAGACTGCTGGTAGATATAAACCCCTGGGCTTTCGTGCTTTAATGTGTCATGGGTCAGGACAGCAATAGCAATTTCGTTTATAAGCTGCCTCTTTTTGTTGCCTGAGATGCAATTATTTTAAAGTATGCAGGCACTTTTCCACTGGTGAGGTAAAATGTAACTTGTTATTTATAGCTATGTTTTAGCTGGTCTGGAATTCAGAAGTATTACTCAGTTTGTCCTGGCCTGAATATGGGGTGTGGACACCAAACCGGGAGCCTAGAAAGAGACTGAAGAAAGCTTGAAGGAACATGTTGAACCACTATAACAGCAATTGTTACTTTCCATTAGGCTTGAGTTGTATTTATTGATTGTATTTTTGGTATCAAAAGTGTGATAAGGCATTTAATAAGTGTGGCAAGGTTTTGGTCCAAGGCAAGAGGTGCTACTCTGTAAAGCAGCAGTATTAAAAAAACCAAAAGACTTATTTTGAAACAGAATGCCTTTCTCTGTCACACCAATGTTGTATTTTTTGGTTTATCTCCAACAGTTCTCTGACACAGGCAGCAGAAAAGAACATGTTAAAATCACAAGTGAGTCCAAACCAGGATTCCTGGAGAGGCTCAGTGAAACTTCTGGAGGCATGCTGATTGGACTTGTGACATTTCTTCTGTCTTTCTACCTTCTTTTTACCAATGAAGTAAGTGGAGTACTGTCAGTGTTTCTACACAGCTTTAAAATGTCACAGCTGAGGTGACATTCAACTAGTTTTGCATTTATAGGCTTACTAGAATGATCAAGTTAAAGCTTTATTACTTCATGAGAAGAGGATAGGATAGCGTACTACTCCCAGTTTCAGTGACTTTGCAGGAAAAAGCACACCATAACATAGTGGCAAGTTAAGGAAAGCTGCCAAGTAGTCATATGGCCCTGTAGAAAAAGGATCATAATAGGCATAATTTTTGCAGTTATTTGTGAAGAATTAATAAGGTAAGAGTTGAAGGGCAATAACTTTGGACCCTTGTAGGAATAATCTATGTGTGTTTGAGCAGCTTAGTCAATGTTAATCATCTTACTGCGTGGGTAAGAAGTACTGCCCCAAACTCTGTCAGACACAGAAAGAGAGAGTGGAGAAGTACAGGTGTGTCTCAACAATATGCCTTGAGTATATAAGCATTTCTTGTGGTCTTCAGATCACTTGTCTGCTGACCTTTTTCACAAAAAACTGCTGTGCCATTGATTCTTTGCAATTTGATTTTGCTTTTCTTAATTGCAGGGACGAGCTTTAAGGACAGCCAAATCTCTTGATGAGGGCCTTTCTCTTGTGATCCCTCTTGGTAGCATCCACAGTGTGTCTCAGCAGAATGAAGGGAGATTGGTGCACTTAGCTGGCGCTCTGAGTACACCTAAGGTAAATACAATAGTATCTTAAAGAGATGAGTATTTCAAGCTTAGAGGGAAGGAAAAGTCTTTGCCAATTAAAATTATGCTTGATATCCAGGGAGAAAACATGTAGCTTCTCTCCTCCTCTGTAAGCATTGCTGACTTCCACCCAGGCTTTGTTTCTTGGCCCAGAATCAGGGAGATGCTTTGATCTCCCTACACCCACCTCTAGCTGTGTTTACCCTCTCACTGCCTTTTGTGGATAATTTCAATTCCCCTTTGTATAGGGAACCTGTTGTATATTCATGATACTGTAAAGGCTTCAGGCTTTTGCAGTACAGAGGTTCTTCACGTTCTGACTTTTCAGCAGTGATGATATTTTCCATGGTCTGACTGCTTTGCAGAAGGTAACGTAGCACAGCAACTTCCAGCAAAATAAAATCTCCCCCTGGTTTAAACACTTAAGCCTGCGTACCATTAGCCAGGATTTCTGGTTTTATTATTCACTATGGCAATAATTTTTCATGATGATTCTTTAAGTCAGTTTTATCAGTGATATAAAGAAGCTCCTTTTTGTCTTTCATAACATTTATACTATATTCAACTGTGTGTAACACAGAACTAATTATGTACAGCGAGATGTGTAAATGCGTTCAGTAATAAAAGTACAGAGTTCGTGAGGTTCTGCATTTAGACTCACTTTTATTTTCTTTAATTTTTAAATAGCCTTTGTTTGATCCCAGCTATGGGCTCTCGGTTCAGGCTGTCAAGCTTAAGCGTACTGTGGAAATGTACCAGTGGGTAGAACATGAAGATTCCAGGTAAGTGAAAGTAATTTTTAAAAGTTGTTTATAAAGCTCTTGTATTAACTGGATCCCATCACAATTTTTTTCCTCTTCCCATTCCCTGCCTGCTAGTTGATTAGCAGAATCAAAACCATTGTCCCAAAATATTTGGTCATGATTTTTTTCAAATGAAACTTTATAATCCTCTTTTTCCCTGTATCTGCTGAGCCTTTACTGCTGCTGTTCTTTAAAACTTAAGCATGGACCCTCAAGCAATTTTTTTTTCTCTGTGCTCAGAAAGGAAATACAAAAAAATTTTTGCTGAATCCAGAAACTTCGTAACATTTTCCCTTGGCTTTCTTCCACAATGACAATGATTTACTTGTGGATCTACAGAACTGTAGTGAGATGTTAGCTACTCTGCTAATAGTTTTAAGTTGTCTTGCTCTGCTAAGAGGGAAAACATTTCTGTTATTGATAATAATTCCACTGACAGTAGCATAAAAGTTACTAGCTATTATGTAGGTCTGACTCCACAGAACTCATGTTCCAAATATCTTTTGTGCCATACAAAAAAAAAATATGATTGATAGGTTGTGAAAGTGTGAAAAACAACTTTGTAGTTTTAACATGTTCATGGTGCAGCACCTGTAAGGGACTCATTGATTTAGGTCAGCTTTTCTCACTGTCTTCAATACTGGTTGTTCTGCATTGATCTAGTCAACACCTCCTTGTTAGCAACAAGGGAATAAAAGGGTTGTGGCTGTTTAGCATTTGTGTGTAGTTTTCTCTTTGTACAGAGAATCTGTCTTCAGAATAGGTAGTTCAGAGAAGGGTTAGTTTACTTGTAAAGATAAGTTTGTTTTGTCTATTTCATTTTTAAAGTGTATTCTGCCCTGAGCAGGGGTGTGTGTGCACTGTTTTGCTTCTCATCCCATCCCTTTTCTCTGCAGGGAATATGAAGAGAATGGTAAGATTGTGAAAGAGACAAAGTATTCATACAGTAAGTTCAACAGAAAGTCCCTTTTCTTTTATGCATGTAATTTTTGACTTTAATGTGTGTGTATTTTGGTTTTTTGTTGTAAACTCTGTATTTTCTTGTTGGGAAAGAAAGGAAAGGAATGTAAAGAAATAAGCAAAAATTCTGTTTCCTAAACAAATGGCAGGACCTCCCTTTCTTGAGGTAACTGAGATGAAAAGACGTGTGCTATTAGCAAGAAACTACTACAGAAAATCTAAGTCTTGTCTTTGAAATCCTTAAAGGTTCAGAGCAGCATCTAGGGATAGGATGCTCCAGAGACAGGGCTCATAAGGTCCTCAGTGACAGGAGATGGACAGAGAGGGGAGTGTGTTCAAATCTACGCTTGCAATTACTCCTCAGAAGTGGAGTAGTTAGACATGTGTCAGGACTGAGAAGAGAATAGATGGGGAAGAATGGTGTAGCTTCAGCCCATGAGACAGCCTGTTGAGAGTCTGTGTAGGTGTTGATACCAGCTAATTAAAAGCACCACCACTTTCTGATGTGCCCTGTGGCTTTTGCCGAATATTTTTTTGGCAGGAGCAGAACTGAGAACATTATTCTCATCTACCCAGTGGCAGAAAAATACTCTGAGTCATTGTGTATCTGGGGACCGATCTCTGCTTCATTTATCTCTGATTAAAGCACATGGAGGTGTAACATGGGTGTGCAGCAGTTTCTGGGTGTGATCATAAAAATACCCCAGCTCAGTGAAGCACGGGACCCTGCAGCATGGAGATGTGTAAGGAGCAAAGCTAGTGGTTGTGAGCTGTGAAAAACAGCCTTACAGAGGCAGGGAATAAAAATAAATGCTGTTTAAAAAACCAGCTGCCCTCTCAAGATTGATGGATTCTGTCCAGTAAAAGTCTGGATATTCCTAGATGTGGTGGGTTAGCTTTGTCTGGCAGCCCAGGGCACACACAGCCACTTGCTTACTCTTCCCCTCAGCAGGACTAAGGAAGAGACTAAAAGTCTGGATATTCCTAGATGTGGTGGGTCAGCTTTGTCTGGCAGCCCAGGGCACACACACAGACACTTGCTTACTCTCCCCCTCAGCGGGACTAAGGAAGAGATTGGGAAGAACAGGAATGAGAGAGCTTGTGGGTTAAAATAAAGACAGGGAGATTGCTTGCCAGTTTTACCATTTTGGGCAAAACAGGCTTGACTTGAGCAAAATTAATTTATTGTCAATTAAAATAAATATTTAAATATTTATTCAGATGTTGGGTAAAGACATTTGCTCTTACCCTTTCCCAGGCTCAACTTCACTCCAGACACCTCTCCCCTTGCCCCCTTACCGCCCTGTTTTCACCACAGATAACACTCGCTCCCTTTAGTGGGGCAGCAAGCGGTGCAGGGAAATTGCACCGCTTGCTGCCCCACTAATTTGGGTAAACCATCCATCGGTGTGGTTTACCACCAGTACATAGTGGTTTTTCTCTGCTGCTCTTTCCTTTTTACACTTTTCCCATGTTCCAGAATGGACTCTTCACATACTGCACTGAATATCTGCTCTGCTGTGGAGCGTTTTCTCCTCCAACTTTGGTGTTCCCTCTGTTGTTCCTCTTTTTTGTTCCTTCTCTGCCCCATTTGTTGTTTTGTACCCTTTCTTTAAAAAGTTTTCATGGAAATGCCCTGAACTTCACTGATGTGCTCAGCTGTGGCCTGTGGTGGGGTTGATGTGGAGCCAGCTGTATCCAACACAGTGCATCCCCTGCAGCGCCCACCACTGCTAAAGCCTTGCTACATATCCGATACACCAGAATATCCCTTACAATGATCCCGGCTCCACTGTTTAACCAGACTCCCTTTCTTTCCTCTCTACTTGTTCATGAAAGTAGAGCAAAGCTATATTTGATGTGGAAGCTGCTCATAAAAGGGACTCTAATTTTGTAGGAGTTATTAGAAACCTACTGGAATCTGTTCTGGGATGTGGGAAGGCTGCTGTGGCCTGAACAAAGGCAGCAGTATGCATTTTTGGTAGTGGGACATACAGGTACCATCTCTCTGTGTTGCTTGACTGCACTGGAATTTGCTAGTTCCAACAGAGCTCACAGCCTTTCCTTGGAAACCAGATTATTCCCAAAGAGTGGAGCCAGGAATCAAACCCAACTGCAAAGCTCCTACTGAGCAGAGTGGAGTTACAATTTTATCGCCAAAAGCCCTTTTTTCTAAATCCTTCCATTCCTTGTTAATATGCCAGGAAGATGGATTTATGTATCAGTGCAGACTATCACATGCATACTTTGATGTAAATATTGTTACTGCAAGTGTAACAACTGATTCATTGATTTGAAAGATGTCTTCAGTAACTAAGATCTGAGTGGCAATTTTTCCTGTTTTCTCCTCAACCTTCATATCATTTTCTTTAGATACCGAATGGAAATCGGAAGTTGTGAACAGCAGAAACTTTGATCAAGAAATTGGACACAAAAACCCAAGGTAATTTACCACCTAGTGCAGTCCTTCTAGATTCTGTCACTGTGTCTGATCAAAGATGAAAGCTGAATGATTAATCTTCATGACACAGTGAAGTAGATGGAAACTGTTGGTCTTTTGGTAGTTGGGGGAGCTAAGGCACAGAGGAATTAGAGAGCAGTTCAAAGCTGCCTAGTGGAACCAGAATTAAACTATCCATTAGTTGGACGTCAGACTACTATTATAATACCTCTGGACCATGTGGTCTCCGTGTAGGAGAACTTGAATGGGTTCCTTTCTGACTTTCATTGTTTGTTAGTGCAGTCTGTTACTAATTCTTCCCTCTATTACAAGTACAAAGTTAGAATAACAGGCAGCCCATGAGCTAGTCACACCACTTGCATGCTGCTCTTCTAAGCAGGCATGTATGAGTTCACAGGCTTATTTGTGGCAATCGCTCATATATAACTTGTTTCATGTATCTCTCATCTGCAGCATTTTAGTTACACCACAGTGTGCTGTTTTTAATGCTGAGTTTTAGCTTACTTGTCTTTCTCACAGCACCTTCTTGGTTCCTTAGGATGCAGGATGCCATCTGGCAAAAAAAACATTATGTGTGAATGAAAAGTACAGCCAGAGAGATAGTAGGACCAAGATTTCAGAAACTTTGAACTTTGCAAAATCTTCAGAACTTTGTTTTGGTTCTGTGAGCTTATCCAAATACACTGCCCTTTATTTAGATGTACTGCTTCAGAAGGAAAAGCAAAGATCTCTGTGTTTTTATTGTAATTCCCAACTAGCCGACTTGTTTAAACAAGAGATAATGCACAGATGACAAACTTGCTTTGTCTCTCTTCTCCATGCACACGTTTTTGTTAATGAAAATTCTCCAAGCCTTCTCCAGCAAATGCAAATTTCCAGTTGAGAGTAAGAAACACTTTTGATTTAGTGCTGTTGCAGTACATAATTTGGAAGTGCTGCAGCTAGAACATTTCATCTGGGTGTATTGGAACAAACCAAGGAGACTGAGCATACTGTGGTGGAACATTGCTTGAGACAACATGGTGTATACAGACATGCTGAACTTTAGAATTCATGCCTAGCATTAATGAGACTCTATTTTAAGTGTGTGCTACATGCCATCTTCCTTCTGTTCATCTATCTTGTCTTTTTATGCAACTTAGACATTTGTGAAAATAAAATCTATTCTTTACTGCCAAGAGATTCTGGTAGTACTACTTATGAGAATGAAGTCAAGTTTGCAAGTAAAGGATTCCTGAGTTTGGAATTTAATTGACTTGGCCATGATGTAGAAGTGCCTTTATATAGTGAAGGTTTATGATCTAGGTTTCTTAATTTAGCAGGTAAGATCTAGCAGTTGACAATGGAAGCTAAATAAATTCAGGCTAGAAATAAAGTGCATGAACAAGTGTAGAATCATAGAACGGTTTGGGTTGGAAGGGACCTTCAAAGGTCATCTAGTCCAACCCCCCTGCAGTGAGCAGGCACATCTTTACTAGAGCAGGTTGCTCAGAGCCCCATCAAGCCTGACCTTGAATATCTCCAGGGATGTGGCCTCCGCTACCTCTCTGGGAAACTTGTTCCAATGATCCACCAACCTCATATTGAAGAACTTTTTTCTAATATCCAGCCTAAATCTAGCCTTTTTCTAGTTTAAAACCATCACCCCTCCTCCTATTGCTACGTGCCCCTGTGAACAGTTCTTCCCCAGCTTTCTTACAGGCAGTGTTCAGGTACTAGGAGGCCACTATAAGGTCCCCCCGGCACCTTTTCTTCTCCAGGCTGAACAACCCCAACTCTCTCAGCCTGTCCTCACAGGAGAGGTGCTTCAGCCCTTTGATCATTTTTGTGGCAGTCCTCTCGACTTGCTCCAACAGGTACACATCCTTCTTGTGTTGAGGGCTCCAAAACTGGACGCAGTATCCCAGGTGAGGTCTCACCAGAGCAGAGTAGAGGGGCAGGATCACCTCTCTCGATCTGGCCACACTTCTGATGCAGCCCAGGATGCAGTTGGCCTCTGGGCTGCAGATACGCATTGGTGGCTCATGTCCAGCTTTTCATCCACTACTACCCCCAAGTCCTTTTCCTCAGGGCTGCTTTCCAGCACATCATCTCCTAGCCTGTATCGACAATGAGGATTGTCCCGATCCAGGTGCAGGACCCTGCACTTGGCCTTGTTGAACCTCATGAGGTTCACCTGGACCCACTTCTCCAGCCTGTCCAGGTCCCTCTGGATGGCATCCCATCCCTCTGGCATGTTGAGTGCCCCACCCAGCTTGGTATTGTCAGTGAACTTGGTGAGGGTGTAGTTAAACGTTGCAGGTATTCATCTAGCAATGTGATTAATTCATTATCACTCAAAACCTCTTTATCACCACGGAACAGCTTCCTAAGGGTTGAACTTCATTTCAGCCCATTATAGGTTCAATACAGAAAAAAATAGTGAAATCCTATAGTGTGAATGGAAGGTCAGGCCAGGGGATGAGACAGTCATATCTTGTTTTAACTTATTTTAATGGCTCCAGCACTGTGAAGTCTGGACACAGTTCCTTGATGGATTTTTTTTTTTCACCTCGTGACAGTCATTTAGCTCTTTGAGTTTCTCTGGATGTTTGACATAGTACCTTTTATGCTCTTGTGTGAGCCAGCACAGGCAGGACACAGGAACAGCCACAAAACCATGGATGAAATGCAAAGAGTAAATTTATTTTCATTACCTCACCAACCAGGGAATCCCTGAAGCAGAGCCCAGGCAGAGGCACACAGGCAGGGACGCAGGCACCACGGAGCTCGATCCTTGCTAGAGCATCACCAAACTTGTATTTCAAGGATTCATGTAGGAGTAGTTTACCACTGTGCTTTGATCCTTCCCACAGCAGGGAAGGAATCTCAAGCTGTTTGATAGGGTGCCTCTAAGTCTATCACAGGCCTCTGTTATCTAAACACAGATGTGCTGCTTGTCCAACACTCAAGGCTAAACAACAGTTAGTACGATACGTATGTTTTTCTGCTGCAAATCACTTAAGTGTGTTTAAAATCCTCCTCGCCAATTTTCCGTTATTTTCCCACATTGCCATATATTACATACTGCAGATCAAGGGTTTGATGATAATTCTGGGACTAATCAGGGACTCTTTCTGTTCCCCCAGTGCCATGGCTGTGGAGTCTTTCACTGCTGTATCTCCTAACGTCCAGGTTGGCAGCTTTGTTCTTTCCAAGGGTAAGGATTGCTTTGTACTGGCTTTGTGTCTGCTGTTGCATCAGCAGCCAGCTTTGGTTCTTTCCACAATGGTAGTCATTTCAAGTGATAATCAGGAAGCCAGCCAGAAGATTGCCTGTTCCAAAGTAGACACCAGACCTGAGCTTGATTCTTTATTCTGTTTAGGCCTTGTGGATAAAATCGATGACTTCAAGCAGTTGAGTTTGTCACACCTTGAGGATCCACATGCTGATGTTACCCGAGGAGGAGATTACTTCTACCACAGCGAGAACCCCAGGCGTCCAGAAGTAAGATGAGAAAGATAAACCAAAGCAATGATTTGTGGAATTATGTGGGGGGAAAAAAAAAGGGACATGCCCCATTTTTATTTAAATGTGCAGAAATTGGAGTGCAGGCCATCACCTAGGATGAACCCCTTAGTACAGTCCTTCAGCAAGAGTGTTTCACTTGCAGGGAGCTTCTGATCCTGCCTACATCTTTGTCTTCTGTTTTCTTGAGTCTGGCATGCTTTTAAATGGAAAGACATGGGATGGTGCTGGGAGGTGGGTTCTACCTGTGCCTTTCTGTACTCAACAGAGAACAATGAATTAGCTTGCTGTCAGCTTGTGCTGCCTGCCCTGCTCTGCCAAAAGATGAAATGAGAAGGGATGAACATAGGATCTCATTGGTGTTAACGTGCTCCTGCAGCTAATGTAGAGAGGGTATTGCAAAACAGCATTTGAGCTATCGCTGTTTTGGCTGTCAACTAGGCCTGAAAGAAAGTATGGCTTGGAAATAATTCTGGATATTCTCTGGCTTGACATAAAATTTCAGAAGAAGTGTTGAAACATAAAAGGTGTTCTCATGCAGAGTTGACTTTCCTGTGATTCTTCTTTGTAAATAAATCTTTCTTGACTTCCAATATTCTCGTTTGTAGGTAGGAGACCTTCGTGTCTCGTTCTTCTATGCAGGTCTGAGTGGAGATGACCCCCATTTGGGCTCTGCTGATAAGGTGGGTCTTCATCTCTTTCTTTATTTTGCAACCTCTGTTTTGAGAGAGAACATCCTAGATCTGAGGAGAAAACCCTATCCTAGCAAACACCAGGACCCTCGGTAACCAGTAAATCTCTTGCCCTTTCTTCCAAGGTGACTGTGATTGCCCGCCAGCAAGGTGATCAGCTGGTTGCATATCACACCAAGGCTGGATATGTCCTGCAGATTCTTTATCCTGGAGATCTCTCTGTGGAGGTGAGATACCACAATGTACTAGTGAAGGGTTAAAATTGGAAATGGTAGTGCAGAAGCAGCAAGGGGGATAAGCTCTCATTCTCCTTCAGACCTACTCTATGGGAGGAGCTACCTGATGTAAACACTGGCTTTTCTCTCTCCATTTTCTAGGAGAACATGTTATAACCTGTGTTTCCTTCCAGATTCCTGCACATTTTTTGTGTTGCAGCAAAATGCTGTGCTTCACCCACTAGCAGTACATAATCTGGCTATAGTTATTCCTGATGGTCTTTTTAATTTTAAAAAGGAACTGTTCCTAAAATAACTGTGTGTATATATATAATTATTTTTTTTAAATCCCTTGTGCTGCTGCTGAACATCCTTTGCTTTAAAGGCTGTTTGTGTGTCTTCTCATTTTGCCTTTATTTGCTCTTCGGTAGTTTCCCACTTACACATGCAAGCACATGCTTTTGAAAAGGTTGTATGTAAAAATAGTAAAAATCAGGCTTTAATTAAACAAACCGTAGGAGCTGTCTTCTCTTCAGCTTCTAATTACAGGAGTTTGGGCTTGTTTGAAATGTTTATTGCTATTCTGGCTGAGAAAGAACCTTCAGGCAGAGCATTATGCTCCAATAAATCCTGCATGCTCCAGCAATTTGGTGATTCATTTACTCCTTTTAGTAGGTTTGTTTCCATTAATGATTGTTTCATGCCCTGCTTCAAAAATCCCAGATGTCAAGAATTTACAGGAGCTCCCAAAAGCAGTTAAAAAGGCTTTTGTTTTGCGCTGAAAGAGAGTACCCCCCCCTTGTGCCCCACTTTGAAATCTATTGCAGTGTGCTGCAACACTGCGCAAAAAGACCCTGCAATATATCTTCTACAACAGAATTTGTACTCCTAAAATGCTGTTGTCTCATAATACACTGGAATTGAAGAGGATCTCGAAAGAAATTTTAGATGCAGGCTGCATGTAATGGTGTTTGCTTTCAGGAAGTGTTTCAGAAAGAGCACGAGAGTAACACCATGAAGACCTGGGCCCTCCGTGCAGCAGGCTGGCTGGCGATGTTTGTAGGCATCAACCTAATGACCCGAATTGTTTACACTTTGGGTAAGTTTTTTGCAGAAAGGTAAAATGATTTAGAAATAGGATCATAATCCTTAGAGAGTCCTTTCTTGCTCACACATCCAATTAATTCATTTGGAGGTCAGAAGGAATTTGGTTTGAACTCAGGTTGGATTTGATCTGAAAGTCACTGTAGGCAATTGCAGGTAAACAGGATCCCAGAACTGGAGGGTTATTTTTGAACATTAAAAAAAAAATAAAAATGCAAATATCTATTTCCAGTCTCAGAAGACGGTGCCTCAAACTTGTATGAACTTCAGACATCAAAGCTATCATTTGCTTTGTAGCTGTGAACTCTTTTTTTTTTTTTTTTCTTAGTTATTTATCCATATACATGTTACTGCAAGATTTATTGTTGCTAGGAATTAATTTTTGTGCAAGCATATTGTATCAGTTGCCCTAGACTAGTTCCATAGTTGCAAGGCTATCAGTCTACTCTGCCTCTCAGGCCTTGGACAAGACTTCAGACTTCATTTTGGATTATTAATTATCAAATGCCTTGAGGATACTCTTGCCTTAGATGTTTAGCTGTTGCTTAATTATCAAATGCCTTGAGGATACTCGGCTGAAATGCTTTATCCAGTGCTCTTGATAGATAATTTGAGTCTTTTGATTGCAATAGTGTGCAAATCCCAGGCATGAATAAGACTTCCTTTTAAACTATCATCTTGTCAACTACTTTATCCCTTGTTTAATTCTTTCTGCAGTGGACTGGTTTCCTGTTGTGAGAGATCTGGTTAACGTTGGATTAAAAGCCTTTGCCTTCTGCGTAGCCAGTTCGTTGTCGCTTCTGACCATCTCCATTGGTTGGCTCTTCTACCGCCCTCTCTGGGCTTTGCTGATGGGGTTGCTCTCTGTTGTTCCAATTGTGGTTGCAAAATCTCGTGTTCCACCAAAGAAGCAGCAGTGAGGAGGAGGTGGTTGGTTTTTGCACTGAATCCTGGTTAGAAACTTTTGAAGTGCATTTCTGTCCCGGTGCCTGCAGCACGCTTACAGCACATCACGATTCAGCAGTGTGCACCCAGAGCTTGGGAGGGGGCTTGAATGTGGTTGTTACATGTTATCCATGAAAAACAGGCCTATAGGGTGCTGTTTGTAGGAAGTCAATGACAACGACTTCGAGGAAAAAAGCATTTTGAGGTGTCTGTATTGGTTATAAGTCAGTGAATGAGCAGATTTGTACCTCTTGCCATGTACTAATTCCCCATGATTTAAGAACTGGCAAGTCCTCACTGATAGTTGGGGCACCTTGTGTATTACAGAGAAAATTCCAGCTTCATCACACGGGCCGTGATTAGATATCCTTAGGAGATACGTGTGTATACCTGTCTCTGCCTTCTCTTGTATGCACAGTTATGTATCATGTACACTTCTTTGGCTGATGCATTTGGAAGTGTACGTGTTCAAAGGGAAAGCACAACGTGGTTGAATTTCACGCAGTACTTCAGTAAATCATGTACTTTTGAACTGAGGATTTTCAAAGTCACTTAAAATAACGAGCAGCCAGGTTAGCAGTGCTCTGAGTAGGGTGGATTTGTCAGAAAGCATTGATTTCCCCCAACTTTTTAAAAGTCTCTGAAGTTGTTCTTGGTTAACCATCCAAAATGGTAGCATGGACTATACACCACTGCATAACTACTTCAAAAATTTAACTTTGAATTGCACTTAAGGGGATACGCAGAAGTCACTCACCTTTAAAAATAAAACCTGCTGCCTTGAAACAAAATTAGCTTTTATAATTGAATGTATAGTCTTTAAAATATTTGGGGTTGTTTTGCTGTTCTTTCTTGAATTTCACTTAGTAAGAACAATGCACATGCTCCATGAAATTAAATAATCAAAACATTTTTGCCTCATTAGATTTCATAACTTCAGTAGTCTGAATTTTGAGCTTCGTAGCATGTTAGAGGAATGCTGCCTTGTAGCGTTGTGATGGCTCATGTTTACATATTTCTGCTGTAACCAGTACTTGAGATTAGAGACTATCTTGTACTGGTTTTAAATCTGTCTCCACCTATCTAGAGTGTGGCTTCCAGATGTGTCCTCCCTACACTACAGTGTATTGTTTGTTTTGGTTTTTTGGTTGGTTTTTTTTTCTGTAAGTATACATAATTCAATACAAAAATAATGTCTTCTCTTCTGAAATCCAGTTATAACTATCAGGAGAAATGTGTTCCTTGTACCAAAGAAACTTAACTTGAACATACATAGAAGCAAATGTTTGCTACAAAAGGTACCAAACTAGAGAACTGTTATAAATCATAAATGTTTTGAGAAGTAGTAATTATTTTATTAGCCTTAATTCTTTTCATTCTTCTGGTGTTTGAATGTTGTCAGTTCAGTCTCATGGCTTAGTTCTGCTGGTCAAAGCAGTACTAGTGAGAGAAAGGTTCTAGGAAGTGCCAGTGGTCTCATGCACGCAGCTGACATGTTGGTGATACTGTGCAGTCTGCCTGCTGCTTGCTTGTACTGACCTTTGCTCCATCCATTAAGAATTGCACTCCACTGGGGAGAAAAACCAAGTGTTGGACTGCTGTTTTACCAGTGTTGCAGGAAATGAACCAGTGTTACCGGGTTAGAGATGAAGATACGATTTTCTACAGACGTGCTGAGCTTTTCTATATTAATAAAGTACAACTTTCAAAAGGTTGAGCTGTAGGCTGCTTCTTCATTACCTTGAAGTATTGCATGTTTCATGTCCAGGAATCGTGTTCAGGTACATGAAGGATTAGTCTGTATCTTCCACATCAACTAGTTTTCTCTTGCTGGTTGAGATAAATGTGCAGGTGGGTTTTGTGTCGCCTGCAAATATTTCCCCATTTTGGGAAGCAAGTTCCTAATGCCAGCAAGCCGCTGTCTGGTCCATGTGCTTCTCCATGATGAAAGGCTGATTCCAGGCTACTGTGGTTTTACTCCTGTTACCGACTGCTTCAGTAACAGTAACTTCCTTGCCTCCATATGATTATTTCAAAAATACGATGGTTCAACCTCACTGGATACAGCCTCTTATATTTTTAAAGAGACTGAGGGTTTAACCTATGCATTGAACAGCTTAAAATACTTTTGTCTTATGTACTTATGTGTGCACAGGAATGATGCAAAATAAAGTGAGACTCCTTTCACTGACCAGAACTTCACATTTCCCAGGCCAGGTGTGCTGGTGGAGCCAAGGCTTCCTTTCATTGCATGTACACAAACAATGTTTCTATAGAAACAACTGAAGCAGTATTTCTCTTGCTTCCATACCAAACTTGGACAGAACATGTACTGATTTGTCTATCATCTTCCCTTTCTGTTTTGGTCTCCCTTAAAGCATATTTACTCTTGCATCTTTTGCATGCTTATGTTAGGAGAGCTGGCTCCCTGGGGGCTGAGGAGTAGGATCCTGCCCTCTGGATGTTATTATAAACAGGCCCTAGACTCCTAACTTCATTTATCTCTCTTGAGTGTCCCAAGTTAGGAAGTGCAGAGTCACTCTGGTACAGCTGGTACCAGCCTCCCCTTTTAAGCAGATGAAAAATTACTGATCCCAGTAGGAGCTGGACTTGGGCCCTCCCATTCAAAGTGCTCATCTCAGGCTGTATCTTGTTGTCACGATGACTAACACAGAAGGAACCACGTCCTCTGGGCTCTGCAGTTTTACCAGTTCATGAAAGATTAAGAACTTTTCTTGAAGCCTTATGTACAGTTCATGTCTGCCCCCCCAAACCTCCACTTTAGGTTGCTTTTAAAATTTATTTCTTTAGAATTTGGTAGCAAAACCTAGAAACTCAGCATGAAAACCCTTTCACATTACAACAGTTCACAAGCAGGCAGCTCTGTGATATCCTGGGACCTGATTTGTGTCTTCTGGAAATACTACAGTGTGCTCTTACCCTTGTGTGAGAGTCCTTCCAGGGAACCAGAGCTGCTTACAGAAGAATGAGCTGGCTGGAGGGGAGGTGTTACAAACAACATTTCTCTTTCTCCATACTTTATTTTGATCTACAAATACAGTACAAAAATAGAGGTTTTTTTCTGAACATAATTAAATGTAAGCCATTTTCTTACATTCCAATCTTTCTTCTCTGACCGTGTCCAGCAATGACTAGACTGTATTTCCCACTATTTTTAAAGAGAGAGTGTCAGTGTAATTTAGTTATAAAAATACTGCAAAAGATAGATCAGCATTTCTTCTACAAAACTGCAGGAAAAGCTTGTGTAGATTTAACATTCCTCTCTTAACAGTTTTTAAATGCTTAGGTACTGGGTAGCATTTAGAAGAGCTCTCTGGTTGCAGTGAATTTCATTTCTGACAATGACACGCAGCCACTTTTACTTGTTTTGCTCCAGAACATACCCACTTGGTCTTGATAAAACAAAACTGAACCAAATATGTAAACATTCAAGTTACTTACAAAGACGTATTTAGCCTTAAGTTTGAAATGAGGACAGGGCTTCTCCCTTCTAATGCACAATATTTCTGAAAGTAAAGAAAGACTGTAGGCTGAAAAGCCAAAACTGAATTTTCACAAAAGGCAGGTATTGTTTAGAAAGTAACTTTTCAGATTCCTCCAAAGCTTGTTTGTGTGCTTCTTTACACCTTAGGGGAAGTACTTCCCCTTCTGTGATGATGAGACTAAGACCCCTACTCTATTCACCACTGATTTAGATAAGGTATGAATCCAAGAGGGTGTTAGTAGTCCTTTGGCCAGCTCACTGCAGACTGTTCCAGAGCAGCTGCACGCTTTCTGGGCAAGCAGGAAAAAATGGAAAGCAGAAAAATGGAAAAAGACAGTGCTAATGAAAGGAATGCCTCAGGAAACAATTATTAGTGCCAAGTGACACAAAAGAGAGCAGAAAACCCCAACAGCCCAAAGTGATCTTCTTAGAAGGTACAACTGCACCTCTGTTTCTCCTAAGTCCAGGGACAAAAGCATGAACCTAATGACCTGTGATAGCAAAAGAAACTCCTGATTAGGTTGGTCTCTGATAGCTCAGAAACACAAGTGCACAGGAAGACAAAGTCCTTAAGTGGCAAAGGATACTTTTGTTGTGACTATGATTCTTGCATCTGGAAAATGACAAAGAAATGCTTGTTCTGATCACAGTTTCTCAAAAGGGAACAACTGTGCTGCTTCTCCTTTCTTTTCTCGCTTGCTCTTTCTGGTTGTCTTCTCTTCTTCTTTTTTCTCTAACTGGCGATTCCGGGGCCAAGAAATGGCCACACTCCTTACTGCAGTCTCTGAACTCGGACCTCCTTCTTCATCAGGAGAGAACCCAGCTCCTTTCTCTGTCTCAGGTGCTGATGGCTCAGTCTGGAAAAAACAGGTGTGCAGATTGGAAAGTTGCTCTACAAATTGCTCAGAACTACCCTTTTCTAAAAGGGCTTGTCTTCTGTCACAATGATGCTCAATGACATTACAAAAGTTGTCTGCTCTGGTTCGGGCTTCTCACCCAAAGCAGTGTGTTTCTGTTCCTGGATGTCAAGCATTCTTTCAACACAAGCAAAATATTTTTGATGACAGAAAAATAAAAATAAACCTGCTTTAAAAACATCATGCCTTTCACCTTTCTCAATGGGGAAAAGATTAAGAACTAAAACATTGGACTTTGTAACAAGAAGCCGCCCCCTCTCATCCTGTTAGCTACTTGCTGGGCTAGTATAGGAATAAATACAGGAAGGGGGTATGTCAAAACAGAAAATAATACAAAAAATTATGCTAGGGGAAACACTAATCTCTTGTTAAACAAAAATGAATCTTTCGCAGACCACATCAAATTTCTGCTGTAGTTTTTTTTTACTAGTTGCTATTCACATGCTAACAACAGGAAAGAAAAATATTTTTGAGCAACTGCAGTCTGGAAGTTCTACACTTTACAGCTGAGAACACAACATATTGGAAATTCTGGAAAAAAAAGTATCTTGGTAGAGAAAAACCATCCTGAAAAATAAACCACTAAGAGATACGCAGAATACCTTGATGGAATAGCGTTGCTTCAGTCTCTCTCTGATGAGAAGTCCTTTTATCAGCAGCTTCCAGTTC